CCGCCGTGGGATGAGAGTAGTCTATAGTCCCAAGGTCCCTAAGTTAGTCTAGAGTTTCAAGGCCCTCAAGTTTTTCAAGTTTCCCTTGTCGAAACCGCCGTGATATTAGAGTAGTCTATAGTCCCCAAATCCCTAAGTTGGTCTAGAGTTTCAAGGCCCTCAAGTTTTTCAAGTTTCCCTCGTCGCAACCGCCGTAGGATTAGAATAGTCTAGGGTCTCAAGGTCCCCAAGTTTTCTGTGTCGAAACCCAAAACACAAGCCACTGTTGCCGAATTCACTGCGACGAGAGAGAAGGTCGAGTGAGCATCAGCGTAAACTTCCTCTCGCATTTCGGTGGAGATTTTGAAAGAAGGAGCGAGTTCCCAGTGGCGTTTGGTGGTGGGCATTAGATGGGCATACCATGGCATCAGTGAGGAGTCTTGTGAGGATCCCCTTCGTCGCAAGTAGGAGGTGTCTCTTTACGGTAAGTTATTGAACGTAGAGGGAAGTTGTGATAGTTTTCGTGTAAATTGGTCGATGTGGAAGATAGGCTTAGACGTATTGATAATGTTTCTTTTTTTTCATTTTTTGCACGTGATGTTTATGTATCTTTTTTATATTTCGGAAAGATTGTTGATAATTAATAATTTGGAAGAGACAGTACGTGACGTTACTCGATATGTATTCTATATGTGAAGTAAATTGAGCCTTTTCCGGTGTATGGGTAGAAATAAGGACGTGGTGACCTTGCAAACGATGACACGACAATTATTAGATAGTCCATTGTTGAGGTTGAGCAGGAAATCACCTCTTACTTATCAAATGAAACAAAGAAATAAGATTTTACTTGATAAAAGGGTAAATACAGGCCTTTATTAAAATCTACTGATCGCTAAGTGGCTTACAGTGCAGGCCTATATCCAAATTAAGAAATTAATTTGTAAATAAATGTTATCATTGGTATTGTCTGCTATCCTTATCGGTATCGTCTGCTTGCATGCTTGCTGTCAGTGGCGAATTTTCGATAAGAATATTCGAGTCTAAATTCTAGAGTTAATATTTACTTTTATAATGTCTAAATAATTTAATAATTTGTGTTTCAGTGAGAGAGAGAGAGAGAGAGAGAAAGAGAAAGAGAAAGAGAAAGAGAGAAAGAGAGAGAAAAGTTGCATCTGATCGAGCATGATTACACATTTCCGTCTTTCATTCCTTCGTTCCCCTATATCACTCCCGGCCTCCTCCTTCCCCAAGGGCGCCGCCAACCAGACGAAGGCGGGCGAGGGCAGCGGCGAAGCAGTCCCAGAGAGAAAGAACAAGGGGCGCGTTGCAGCCAAAGTCCCTGCTAGAATCGAACTCAAGGAAGGGAAGCGGTATCTCTGGTGTGCCTGTGGCTACAGCAAGAACCAGGTGAGGGTTTGGGACGTGGGTTTGGGATGAAAGGAAAATGAGTTTCAAGTCGAAGTGTACTGGTCTGTGATTATGATTTGATGTTATTGTGTTTTTTTTTTCTCTCCTTCTTGGTGATATGGTTATCGTCATCGTTATTATAATTGTAATAAAATTAATGATGATAAAGGTAATGATAATGATAGAAATAATGATAATAAGATTTATAATTATAGTAATAATGACGACATTAAAAAATATTTATAATGATAGTAACAGTAATAACAACAACTACAACAAAACAACAACAATAATAATAATAGTATTGATATTGATAATAATAATAATGATATTGATAATAATAACAATGGTATTAATAATAATAATGATAATGTTTGTAATAATAGTAATAGGAAGAATTATGATAATAAATATCATCATTGGTATTTTTGTTTGCATTCGCACTACCACTGTCATTATCATGTTTGATTACTGCATCACGTACGTACGCACCACACTTCACTGCAAAACGCCCCTCACACACAGCCATTCTGCGACGGAACCCACATCTGGAGTCGCTGGCGTCTCAAGATCAAGCAGACGCCCGTGTTCTTCAAGGCGCCGGCGACGAAGACCTACGCCCTTTGCACGTGCAAGCAGACCAACAAGCCGCCTTATTGCGATGGGGCGCACAGGCGGAAGGAAGTGCAGGAGGCCGTGATCGAGTAGCTGCAGAGTCCTGGTTGTGAAGCTCGTCGAAGAGTGTTGGTCTAATGAATTCAGCGTTGTTTTATTGTATACGAGATTGCTCACAGTGATTGTTGGTTTAATATGTGAATATATATTTTTTTCATGGAGGTATATATGTATATATTTCACCTGGTACTGTAATAAAAAATTGTTAATTGCAAGAAAAGTACTTAATTTGATATATGTACGTTATTGGCAGCTACTGAATTTTGAAATGAATTGGTGATTATATTGTAATTAACGACCTTGTATATTACTGTTAGTGATACAAAAGCGATTTTATATATTACTGTACGTATACAAAAGTGATGAGAATGGCCTTAACAAAGTCAGTATTATGTGGCGTTGTAAATATTTTTGCTAGAAAATAAACAGTTGCACGAAA